CCTAATTTGAAATTTTAAGATTTCAACTTTGACTCATCAAATTACCTTGCATGACCATCTTCATCGACTCGTAATAAAATACAGGCCTAATATGGCGTAGAAAGGGGTAAAATTATACTTCGGTCTCTTTCACTCCGTCCCCTCCCACCGCGTCCGTTCAGTTGGAGAGAGTCGCAAGCAGTAATGTGCCGCGAGTGTCATGAGCAGGTCGTTACTTTTTTGTAATTGTGGAGACCTAAAACGAATTAGGGTGCTACAAGATTAAAAATTAAGGTATGTGTATTTTTTCATACTAAAATTTCTCTATACAGCTGTGACTTATTTGTCATTGAATCATTCTTAGATTGAAAAAAATGTACGAATCGAAGACGCAATCATCATTTGGTCTATGTTGTTACGAAACGAATGTTTATGGTAGAAACTGATTTATGATTGTATCCCTCTTGCAATAAATATTGTACTCGCACAGACTGGTTAGACGTGGCTCTGTCGAGATACGTAATCGTTTTAATTTAATTAAAAATAGTATTCTCTTTCATAACGAATTGAAAACTAAATTATATTTCAGGTACAAACGATACCCAAAATCGATGAATTTACTAAAGAGTCTATAAGTTACGTCAGCTCTTCTGCCAGTAGAAACAGAAACGCAACAGTCTAAGAAATCACATGATTCAGCCTCTAGAACTAGTAGGTCTTCTTCTTATTCAAGCAGATCATCATCAACATCCTCTTCCAGTTCCAGCAGCAGTTCTGGTAACAGTAAAACAAATGACAATTTCATCATAGATGGGCCATCAACATCTAAGTTAACGGGTCAAGTTGCAAGCAGAAGTACATCTGCAGCAAAAAAAAGTTACCACCAGTCACCTATCAATTCAGTTGAAAGTGATGTAGATTTAAGTGACTCCGACCCAACCTATACTGTAGATAGGTCTAGGTACAATCTTAAAAAGACTACTTGGTTATCAAGCTCTAGCTCCAGTTCTTCACCTTCTTCCAACACTACTTTCAGTACCATAGCATCTAATAACACTTGTTCTGTTAATTCTGTCGCAGAAGCTCCCAGAAAATCTAGGAAGCGTACTCGAAATCCATCAAAATGGAATCAAAATGTAGCAAAAATTTTAAGAAATTCTTGAAAAGCTTATGTTTCAATGACAACTAAAAAGGAAGTACTTGCCGGTTTCGTTAAAGATGCATGTACATGTAGACTCAAATGTTCCGAGTATGTAGATGGGACCGATAGAAATACGCTATTTGAAACATATTGGTCTCTTGGCAACATCGAACTACAGAGGTCTTACATAAGATCTTGTATGATGGAAGTTAAACCTAGATATAAGTATACTTATGCAGCTAAACCAAGATTACCAAATAATGCATTCTATTTTAAAATAAATTATATCGATATTCGTGTTCGTAAGACCTTCTTTATTAACATGCTAGGGATATGTGACCATCAAATCAGAAAAGTTAAAAAGAAAACTGACCCGCAAGGTTTCGTAAGTAAAGACAATAGAGGTAAGCACTTTGGAAGAAAACCCACAGATCCACTACTTATTGAAAGTATAAAAGGACATATAAATTTTTTATACCAAGAATAGAGTCTCATTATTTGAGAGCTTCAACTTCCAGGGAGTATATTAGTGGTGAGAAGAAGATAATGGATCTTTGGAGAGATTTTGATAAATCTCAGAAAGAAGAAGAAAAACCTACATGTGACTATTGGTTGTACTATGATATTTTTACTAAAGAGTTTAATATAGGTTTTTTTTCGACCAAAAAAAGATAGGTGCGACTTATGCTTGGATTATGAGCTTGCAACTCCAGATCGCAAGATAGAAATTAAGGAAAAATATGATGATCATCTGAAAGAAAAGGTTCTGTATCGAGAAGAAAAACGTCTAGATCGTCTAAATATTAATGAAACCAACATTTGCGCGGTCTACGATTTGCAGGCTGTTATGCAGTGTTCTACTGGAGAAACATCATCTTTTTTTATAAATTCAAACTTAATTGCCTTAATTTTACAATAGTAGAAATGTTAAAGAATACAGCAACACTTCAAAAGCGTAAAAAAATAAATAAAGAAGAGAATAATGAAATATACGGTAACGTATATAGCTATTTCTGGGACGAAGTTCACGGAAAAAGAGGAGTTAACGAGATTGGATCATGTATTTTAGCTTATTTACACCGTATGAGCAGAACCAAAACAAAGCTCTCCATGTCACATTTTATTCCGATAATTGTTGTGGACAAAATAAAAATAAAAATAAATACATTACCACGTTATATGCTTATGCTGTAACTATTTTTGAAAATATTCACAGAATTACTCATAAATATCTAATTAAAGGTCATACGCAGAATGAAGGAGATAATGTACACAGCCTTATTGAAAAGGAGATTAAGAGAAATAAAAAGTCTGGGCCAATATACGCACCCTACCAATATGTTACCCTAATTAAGAACTCGCGTAAGAATGGTAAACCTTTTAATATGATAGAGCTGACATACGAATTTTTCATCGATTTGAAAGTTCTACAAGAAAAGTGGGGATATAATTATAATGAAGATGAACATAAAAATAATATCATATGGACCAATGTCAAGGTTTTGGAATTTTGTAAGGGGGAACAGTTCGCATTTTACTATAAAACCTCGAACCTCAAGTGAGTTCACCATGGTCAATATGAGAAATAAACGAAAGAAAATGGCCAGACCAGAAGAAATAACGCTAACCAAAGCATTTTTCACAAAGACTAGAGCTAAGTGAACATAAGAAAAAAGACTTACGTGATCTCGTTAATAAAAACTTAATACCTAGTTATTATGCAGATTTTTATAATTCTATACTTTAATTACTTATTACGTTTTTCAAAGTTTATGGTTATTGTTAAGACATGTTTTAATTTGAATAGTTTTATAATTATTTGTAAGCAATAGTTTCAAAGAAGACTGAGTAGCATTTCATTGAATGTTATTTTTTTTAATTATCTTTTAGCTTTAGTTAACTTTGCGACATACTGTGTTGTACAATTAGTAAGTAGTAAAGTTTTTTGTCCGTTTACTTTTCTAATAAAACTTTTTTATTACCTTAAGATGTTTTTTTTGTGTGTACCGAACATAAAAAGTGTCCCTAAAACTGTCTAAAAATGCATTAATACAGTAACTAATTTAGGAATGATACGATATTTTGATTGAAGATTCAGAATCAGAGAGACCTAAATAATAAAAGGTCTTTTAAAAAAACTATAGTTTCAGGCAAACAAAGACCCAACTGCACACTATTTTTGTATAAATTGAGAAGAAAATAACAAAAGTTGATTTTATTTACTTTTTTTATTTCACAACGTGTAGATAAATAAGATAAGTAGGATATAAAATTAAAATAATACGAATTTTATGAAAGTACGAAGCAAATAATCTCCCTTTTCTTGAAACATTTTAAAATGTTTCAAAGCTTCAGTAGTTTTACCTTAGCGTTATAAGTCAATCAGTCAGCAGTTCTTTATTTATAATATTAGTACATTTACAGTAGGTGAAATATTATAGGTTCCATTTCACCTATTGCAACAACTAATTTTCATTTTATTTTGTTTCAGATAACTATACCTCGCACATACAAACCACGAGCTATATATTATAAAAAATACGATGAAGAGACGACAAATGTTGCACTTAGAGAGTACGAAACGTCAAATTGTTCGTTAGCAGATATTAGTGCAAAATATAATATTTCTAAATCTGTTTTACACAGACACAACACAAGATTCATGAAGAAGCAAAGTGGTCAGACGGTATTAACTGGCGAGGAAGAGGCGTATATAGAAAATATAAATTATTGTTCTGAGTGGGGATATCCATTAGATACCTACGATTTGCGGATTTTGGTTAAAGGATACTTAGATAGGATAGGTGTGAATGTAAAAAAGTTTAAAGATAATCTACCAGGTCCTGACTATGTAAAAAGTTTCCTAAAAAGAAACCAAGAAAAAATTTCACTAAGAATAAGTTATTAAATTAAACGATCACGAGCGGCAGTTTCACGCGAAGTTGTAGCAGAATATTTTTCTCAACTTGCGAAATTTATAGCAGGAGTACCCTTATCTAACATTATAAATTATGTCGAGATGAACCTCTCGGACGACCCTGGTAGGAGAAAGGTTCTTACAAAAAGAGGTGCAAAATACCCAGAGTCATGAGCCGGGGGTCATGAGCCACAGTAAAACCTCAACATCATTAATGATGGCAGCATCTGCGGATGGTGTAGCCTTGTTATGTGGTGTACAAAGCAAAACATTTGTACGAATCTTGGATTGAGCCGGGGCCAAAGGGGTGTCGATACAATTGTACAACGTCTGAATGGTTTTGAGAGTGATTGGACACTTCTGAGGATTGGGTTCGTACCATCGCATTATCATATTTTATTGGCAAGGACGGAAAGAAGATTCTTATTGGAGATAATCTTTAACCCTTAATAACCTAGAGTTTCAATTTTGATACTAATATTTTAAACCGAATATTCACATTACTATTAGTTTTTTTTTATATGTTGGCTGTATGTATTTTACTGTTGTATAGTATTCTATCCAACGAAATTAAAAAAAAAACAAATGTCATTATTGTTTTATTTTATCTGTGACATATTACTTGCGCGGCAAAGTGAACAAGTAAACACATTTTACTAAAAGTTTTGTTGAATATAAATTTGATATATTTTCTTTTTCTGAAGAATATAAATACTTTTGAGGTAAGTGAATACATTATTTTCGCTATGATATAATTATTTTTAGCAAATGCATGTTTTACTTGAAGAAATTAGTGCTTTTTTTTTGGTATCAATATTGATACTTCAGGCATTCCGCCCTACATAAAACCTACCTACTAACTCTTTAGCTATAAAACTTTTTGAACTTTCGTTTCATATTTTTTCTGCATAGCTTGGTGTGGGGATTACTTTTGTTTTTATTTATTATAGAAATTTATCCAAAATGCGGCCAGAAGAGATTGAGAACATATTGAAGCGGTTAGAAAATGGTGAAATTTCGGAAGACGATTCCACCGACAATGAAGATGACATAGACTATTATTCGAGCCAAAGAGATCGTCTGATGGAGCTAGATGATGAAGAGGATGTAGGTAATTTTCCCACTGACCCAAACTTGGATGCAGATCCGCCTGCAGCAAACGTAGATACCGACATGCAACATAATTTAGAGACTGTTGAACGAAACCCAACTCCTACAACCAGCAGCCAGAACAACCTGCAAACTGCACCTTTCAACTCTAGAAACTTAGTGTGGAGAGTAAAAAATATGGATTTAGTCCAAAATGCTTTCCAGTTTGCTGGAAATACTGAGTATTCACAAGAAATTATGAACTTAGACACTCCATTTCAGTTTTTTTCTTATTTTTTTCGGTGAAGACATTTTGAGATTTCTAGTGGACGAGTCAAATAAATATGCCTTCCAAAAGAATCCCAACTTTACAGAACCTGTAACTGTCTTAGAATTACGTAAATTTATTGGAATTCTTATTTTTACTAGTGTATATCATTATCCTAGTGTCCGGTCATACTGGTCAAACATTACAAAGTTTGAACCCATAGTACAAACAATGAATCGCAACAGATTTGATAAAATTAGAGAAATTTTTCACATGAATGACGACTCTAAACATTTGCCCATTGATCACCCCCAGCACGACCGACTGCATAAAGTAAGACCAGTGATAGACTATTTGAACAAGAAATTTATTACTTTACCATTTGAGCATCGTCTATCACTAGACGAGCAGATGTGTTCCACAAAAATGAAACATTTTATGAAACAATATTTACCCAACAAGCCCCATAAGTGGGGATTCAAATTATACGTGTTATGCTCTCTGTCTGGTTATGCCTACAGTTTTGAGATTTACTCGGGAGCTAAGGACATGGACCGTTTACCTGGCGAACCAGACCTCGGAGCTGTGTCGAATACAGTTATTCGATTGCTACGACCAGTACCAAGGCATGTCAATCATATAATTTATTTTGACAATTTTTATACGAATATTCCTCTGGTACATTACTTGACCAACGAAGGTATTTATTGTCTTGGAACAGTACAGAGAAACAGGCTTGGAAAGTCGTGCAAGTTGCCGGAGAAACGGGAGATTATGAAATCCAACGTACCCAGAGGAACATATCACGAAAATGTGGCCTCTCACGAAGGCCTAGAATTGTCGGTCACAAGTTGGAAAGACAACAAACAGGTATTATTACTATCCACGTATGTTGGCGCTGAACCAGCGGATACTATAACCCGCTACGAAAAAAAACTAAAGGCCAATATTCAAATATCATGTCCTCGGGTTGTAAAAGAATATAATGCACACATGGGCGGCGTTGATTTGATGGACAGCTTCATTGGTCGATATCGCATTCGCATAAAGTCGAGAAAGTGGACAACGAGGCTCTTCTACCACTTGTTAGACATGACTGTCATCAATGCTTGGGTACTGTACAAAAAGGTAAACACAAGGAAAGGAAAACTTCAGAAGAATATTATGAAGTTAGCAGATTTTAGAACTGAGCTTGCCGATACTTTATGTAGATATCAAAGTCACTCAAAAAATAAAAGGGGCAGACCCAGTACCAACAGTCAACAAGACAATACAGTACCCTCTAAAAAACCCCGGACAGGTGCACAAGTACTACCCCCAACTGACGTGCGTTCCGATTGTATTGGCCATGAAAAAATATTTATGGAGTCTAGGAATAAATGTAAATTTAGTAATTGTAGGAAACTTACCTCCTGGTTCTGTAAAAAATGCAAAGTATCGTTATGCGATAATAAAAACAATCGATGTTTCGCATTATTTCATGCATAGGTCATTTAAGATTTCTTTATGGCCATAATGCCTGAAGTATCAAAATTGATACCTGTTTTTTTTTTAAATAAATATGTAAATATTGTGATTTATTTAGCTATTTTTCCCTTCATCTAGACCCTCAAGCAAATACAGTAATATTTAAAAAAGAAGACTCGCGTAAATCAGGCTACTAAGGGTTAAACGAAGTTAAAAATAGTTGTATGAACGGGGTATGTTGTAATCTTTGGTCAGATATAGCGGAAGCACCTAGAAGAACTGTCCAGATGCAGTGACAAGTGCTTGAAGGCATTGCTGCAATGAATAGGAGGTCTAAACTTGAAGATGTCGCGGTAGAAGATCTGGAAAAACTTGTAGCAACATACGATGAACCTCTCAGCAATGAAGATCTGATCGAGTTACAGAATAATTCCATCCACGATGAGAAAGAACAAGTAGAAGAAAGAGTTTTATCTTCAAGCAGTGGCGAAGCTAGAGCTCGAAACTAGGGCAAGCCCAAGATATAAATTGATAAAAATATAGATTGTTGTTTTTAGCAGTTTTATAAAAATACAACAATCTTGATCTGTCTCCACTCTTCAGTTTCATATTCAATGCTGTCAAGGACGTGTTTAACAAAGCACACAGAAGGCATACTACTGCTAGATAGATTGTATTACATATCAGCAATTGCGTAGCTTCGGTGGCTTTGAAGAAAGCCGTTTGGGTTTGTTTAAGCGAAAGAAAAATATTTACATCCAATAAAATACATGAACAAAAGTAAAACATGAACAAAGTACAAACAAACTATGTAAAAAATTGAAAAAAAAAAATTATTAAGTACATTCTAATGTAAAAGAGATAAGTGGAATCGTCTCGCTTTCTTAAGGAAAGATTTAATTACGTCCACGTAAAATGTTGGTGAATGTTTCAATTGTACCAATAACTGTTTTGCGATAATTGATAAGTCTGAAATACACTCTTGACCTTGTGAATTATCTCAACAAAGTTTAAAGATTTTACCTTTTCCTCTCCGATTAGCACTTTAACACACTTCAATTCATCATTTAACACACTTCAATTCATCACAAGGAACACTATTATCCTCCATTTTCACTAAAAATCTTTAAAAAAGCATACATTTTAAACTCCCAATATTAAATTGCTAAAGCTAAACATAGAGTAAATAAACATTTAAATGTGAAATGAACTTGCAAACGTATTGCCCGCGCGCCTCCGCTTTTGACAAATTCATTGATAAAGCCTGGCTTTAAATCTCTACACTAATTGCTATATATACAATCGTAGTTATATTTCACTATAGAATATTTGCCATAGGTAAGAAAGAGAGCGATCGTCTTCTCGAAAGCCCCGTAAAAAGCCCACGCGATCGAATGAGACAACAAATAGCTCTATTAAAACTCATTTTTTTATGACAGCAGCAGTATCGCTAAGGCAATACGAGGTCATCGGTCGACATGTGTCGAACAGTGGAGTGCGCGGGAAATTTGAAATAGTTTGAAACAGTTTACGAGTTATTTTATTAGTTGATATTATTTATTGATTCAGTTTGATAAGGCAAGCCCGGCTTTTCGGCTTCTATGGAGGCTTCGCCACCGTCTTCAAGCGGAATACAAAATGCGCTTTCAAAAATTTATTCAGAATGATTTCTTATATTTACGCGAACACTACACATTGAAATAATACTAGTTTTTACGGAATTTATCGCGTATATTTAACTTTTTAAATACCCGAACGCTTTACAGCACTCATGGTCACGGGCGGGACTGAGATGTTCAACGTCCATATGTCATAGTAAAACGCGGTTACCATAGATTAAAATTTAACTTTTGTTTCGATCTACGCAGTATGAACTTATGGTATCTTGAAGTCTTGCAGTTGTATGCTTGGGTTGGGATTTAATTTTATTTATTACAGGATCAAAGCAGATGGTAGCACCCAGCCATCTTCTCTATTGAAATTAGGATGTTTTTTGATTTCAATAGCCTCGCGAATCATCCTTGGAAGGAATCGGTGTTCTTTAGCGAGGATTTGCGGTCTATCAAATCTGATGTAGTGACGGGGGCGATCCTGTACGTGTTCACAGACTGCAGACTTCCCGGAGCGTCGATTCTTCACATCAGTTATATGTTCTTTAACGCGGGTTTTTATTGATCCTTTAGTTTGTCCTATGTAGGAGAGACCACATTCACAATCAAGCTTGTACACTCCTGCATCTTGCAGAGGGACATTACACTTGACTGATGATAAAAACTGACCAATCTTCTTCAGCGGCTTGAAGTATGTTTTGATGGAAGCGCGCTTCAAGATGTAGCCAATCTTGTCAGTAACTCCTCTAACATATGGCAGTACAGCAGTACAAAGATTTACCCACGGTAGCTAACTGTGAAGGATGGTGGTGAGAATCACCGTTTAAATATCTATCTGTATGGGTCTTTTTTCTATACACGGTATGGCTCAAGGTGTTAACAGGATTCCGAATTACTAACACATCTAGAAAAGCTAAGGAATTGTTTGCCTCTAACTCCATTGTGAACTGAATTTTAGAATTTATAGAGTTAAGATGGTCTAAAAATGCAGTTACTTTATCTAAAGGTAGAATTGTGAAAGTGACGTCTACGTACCGCTTGTAGAATCTTGAATTTATGGGAGAACTAAGCAGGGCTTTCTCCTCAAAGTCTTCCATGAATATGTTGGCGACAATGGGAGATACAGGTGAGCCCATCGCCACACCATCTACTTGCTTGTAGAACTCCTCCTTCCACAATAGGTAGCCAGATGTAAGGCAGTGTCTGAGTAATACTGCATATTCTACGGGCATGTTGTTTTCTTCCAGCCTTCTAGTTACAATTGAGATGCAGTCTTCAACAGGTAAGCATGTAAACAATGACTGCACATCAAAACTGACCATAGTTTCATTGTCTGCCAGATGTAGGTCTTTAATCTCGCTGACAAAATGGTAGGAATCCTTTATGTGTGCTCTTGTATGTCCCCTGAGCGGTGAGAGTATTTTCGCTAAGTGTTGAGCCAATCTGTAAGTTGGTGAATCGATTTGGCTCACTATGGGACGTAATGGAGCATTGGGCTTGTGTATTTTTGGTAACCCATACAATTTTGGTGATTTGGCGCACGTAGGTATTATCCATTTTACGTCCAGATTTAATTTTTCGGAGTGTTTCTTTATGAGGTCACTAGTTGTTTTTAGTGTGCTATTTGTTGGGTCGTTTTTAACCTTTTTATAAGTACTTACATCCGACAAAAGTTCTTGTATTTTAGAATTATAATCTGACGTATCCATGACTACCGTGGCGTTTCCCTTATCTGCGCGGAGAATCGTAAGTTCTGGTTTATTGCGTTGTTTCTTTAACGCTATAAATTCGTCTTTGAGAAGATTCGGTTTAGGCAGTGAACATCGACGTAACATAGACGAAATGTCTTGACGTATCGCCTCCAAATCTTCTTTCCGCATATTGTTTTTAAATAAACAGTCCTCGACACTACAGATAATTACTTCGTACTGTAATTTGCGGGGTGTAATAGCAAAGTTGAGGCATTTGGATAAAACCCTAATTGTTGCATTATCCAGTGTTTGTTTTGACAGATAATAGAGCGCGATTAATCTATGATCTGTGTTTGTCAATGGTTGCTTTTGGTTTTGGCATTGATTCAGATGTTTGACATTTGACTTGTTCGTTAATTTTTGATATTTTTCTATATGTTTGTTTTTGCATTCGTTATATTTACTAATTTCGCGTTTATTTAATGTCTCCATGCAAAAATTATAGTCAAACGTCGTTAAAACTTTCTTTAATTCACTGGATGATGTGTCTATGGATTTATTTATGTCATATAGATCGGAGCGTTTTTGTTGGATTACCGTCCGTAACAACTTTTTACTCGCCTGATTTGAGATCTTAGCGCTTCCTCGAATGTCCTTTTTGGTTGATATTTTGACACACGTAGGAATGAGATTATGGTCACGGCATCTCTTCAAGAAATTTAAGGCTGTTAGATATCTTGCGCGCTTGGTCTTTAGATCTTCTAATCGGCGTATTTTATTTGCAATTACCAGTCCGTACTGGTTTACATAATGATTTCTTATATTTACGCGAACACTACACATTGAAATAATACTTGTTTTTACGGAATTTATCGCGTATATTTAACTTTTTAAATACCCGACGTTTCGAACGCTTTACAGCACTCATGGTCACGGGCGGGACTGAGATGTTCATCGTCCATATGTCATAGTTAACCGCGGTTACCATAGATTAAAATTTAACATTTGTTCCGATCTATGCAGTATGAACTTATGGTATCTTGAAGTCTTGCAGTTGTATGCTTGGGTTGGGATTTAATTTTATTTATTATAGGATCCCAAGCAGATGGTAGCACCCAGCCATCTTCTCTATTGAAATTAGGATGTTTTTTGATTTCAATAGCCTCGCGAATCATGCTTGGAAGGAATCGGTGTTCTTTAGCGATGATTTGCGGTCTATCAAATCTGATGTATTGACGGGGGCGATCCTGTACGTGTTCACAGACTGCAGACTTCCCGGGGCGTCGATTCTTCACATCAGTTATATGTTCTTTAACGCGGGTTCCTAAAATAAATATAATTAAATCCCAACCCAAGCATACAACAACAAGACTAAGATACCATAAGTTCATACTGCATAGATCGGAACAAAAGTTAAATTTTAATCTATATTAACCGCGGTTAACTTTGACATATGGACGTTGAACATCTCAGTCCCGCCCGTGACCATGAGTGCTGTAAAGCGTTCGAAACGTAGGGTATTTAAAAAGATAAATATACGCGATAAATTCATAGACAGTGATGATGACCGTGTTTATACCGTGTGTTAAACAATTAAAAACAGCGTTGGGTGTTATGAACGTATTTTACAAGAACGTAAAAGAAACAGTACCCAAACGACAATGGATATATTTATCCTTAATAAAAACATGTAATACTGCATAAAATGTTCTAAGAATTAAAGTGATTGATTCAAATTATTTTTTTTATTAACCTTTGACTATGTTTAATCGTAAACCCCGATTTACGCGAATTTCACTTAACACGATTTTTGCGGAACGTACCCCTCGCGCAAAGCGGGGTATTACTGTACTTAAAGATGAAGCAATATTGCAAGATCTTATGGATTATAATATTATTTAGATTAAATTACATTAACTTATATTAAATATATAATATAAATAAAAATATACTTATAAATAGTGTGGACATATAGTATAAAAATAAAAAAATAAGTAATATTATGTACAATTATACTATATACTTACGATTTTTTTATTTTGGATCTAAATAAATATTTTGCAGATTTTATAAACAGTTGATTGTTAAATTGATAAATTACTTTGCTTGATAGAGGATTTGTTTGTTTCTGTAGCAATGTAATTGTTTAAGTTTTTACTTTTTACTTATTGACTATAAGTGTTTGTGAATTTTAAATATATTCCTTTCTCTACTGTATATATTTTTATTAGCCTATCCTCTTCAAAATATACTACAGACTTCGAATTGATTCTTTAGGTTTATGTTGCATAAATCTTCACGCAATCTCATTTTAAATATTTGACAAGCCTGTGCTTTTTTTACCTATATACCCCAGAACACCCCGGTTCAAGTATGAATAGGAATGGCTTACATTTTGGTTAATATCATAATGTACGACAACAGCTTTAGTGTTTTTTTGGCATTTTCAGAAAATATACGGAGGCGAAGAAAATAAGAAGCAGTCATGCATGTCATATTTGTAAAATAACATTCCAAATTTTTAGTGTGAAGTTCGATTTTGTACCTATTCACCCCGTTTTGCGGTACTCTTTCTAGCTTTTACGGCTTTACGTCTTCTACCAGGTGGACCCCGCAGATTAAGGAATTTACAATAGCCGAACAAGTATCATTCCTATGGCAGCACCAACGGTTAACCCAACACTTAACATGGCTATTATGACGGACGAAGCTTTCTCCCGCTCATGCAAGTCCACAACTCTGAAACAATCAAAAAATTTAATGTTATGACATAATATAAATTTTCAGTAATTTAGACGCGAGCGCAGCCTCTAGATGTTACTTGTAAATGTAAACTAAGAATATCCACTGCCCCATATCGGCCAGTGAGTGTATTAAAAAGGAAATAAACCAGTTAAAAACTGTGGTTGCTAACTTAATAAACATTATAGACAAATATCTCCTATGACACAATATATGGGAGAGCCCATGGTATAAGCCCATGGTATAAGCCCATGTTCCTCAACATGAGATGTAACCTTACTTCTTTACAGTGTAAAGTCTTATCAAACTTATAAGAAAATGAAGATTTCCAAAACCAGTTCAGTCTATCGTGGTTAATTAATAATACAAAATATATATTCTTATTCATTATTATCCGTAATTACAACACATGTTATAGATTGTTGCCATTAGACATTTTATTAACCTATAATGCATTTGTAACTTTTTATAAACAAGTACGTGATCTGTGAGATCCATTATTATCAGGCAACATTATCTCACATCAACTCTTTGTAGTTCTTCGTATTTCCAAATTTATTAACCTATAACGCGTTTGTAACTTTTTATAAACAAGTACGTGATCTGTGAGATCCATTATTATCAGGCAACATTATCTCACATCAACTCTTTGTAGTTCTTCGTATTTCCAAATTTATTAACCTATAACGCGTTTGTAACTTTTTATAAACAAGTACGTGATCTGTGAGATCCATTATTATCAGGCAACATTATCTCACATCAACTCTTTGTAGTTCTTCGTATTTCCAAATTTATTAACCTATAACGCGTTTGTAACTTTTTATAAACAAGTACGTGATCTGTGAGATCCATTATTATCAGGCAACATTATCTCACATCAACTCTTTGTAGTTCTTCGTATTTCCAAATTTATTAACCTATAACGCGTTTGTAACTTTTTATAAACAAGTACGTGATCTGTGAGATCCATTATTATCAGGCAACATTATCTCACATCAACTCTTTGTAGTTCTTCGTATTTCCAAATTTATTAACCTATAACGCGTTTGTAACTTTTTATAAACAAGTACGTGATCTGTGAGATCTATTATTATCAGGCAACATTATCTCACATCAACTCTTTGTAGTTCTTCGTATTTCCAAATTTAAATAAACAAATTTAAGGCTTAGAATTAAAAACGTTAAATTTATTAAAATGAATAAAAATTTTTAAAACCACTGCATTTGATGGAGAAGGCTCAGTTGACTATCTATCAATATATATATATACACTCCAAATGTAAAATTAGGTCTCTTTGTTTGGTTTTTAATTTTAAGATAAAATAAACAATTTTATCTTAAAATTAAAACTAATTAATTAATTAGAGCTGACAAGAAAGAACCCTGATATAATTTACTTTTCACTAGGAATACATTTATTTGTTGTTAAAAGTTATTAATGAAATAAAGCATTATTATAGTAATTATTATTATTCTTTTAACCAATAAATAAGTCAATAAGTAGCGCCCAATTATTTAAACAATGAAACACGTGCAGCAGTGTAAAACAAAGAAGATAAATAATGAATTGTAAATTATTAAAAAACAATTAAAGAGGGATAACATGATGTTTAAACATTAAGCATAAAACCATAAAACCAATTTATGGGCATTTCATCAAATTGATTGTTTACGTTATAACTAATCTACTTAATCTACTATCTCTTTACGTGGTAGAGCCAAGCTGCAACTATATCAGTAGTATAGTTGTAGCACTAATGGGTCGGCTTGACCGCGGAAGTACCACATTCTCACAGAATACCAGCGTATAATATCAGCTTAATGCTACTATTTCATGTGATGAGTGTGGAGAACCGGAGACACTTTTTACCGTAAACGAGGCATACCACCCTAGTCCTCACGGGTGACAACGCATCCGCATTTTGATTCGTAGTCGAAGATGTAAATGTCTATGGGCCACAGCAAACACTTACCATCAGGTGGACTGTGTGCTCGTTTGTCACCCATAAGTTATAAAAAAAAGTCAGTAATATCAATATTATAGATTGAACAGAGATCCAAAATAATATTTACTGTCTCGTTGGTTTAATACTTTTAAGCGCGACTGTAGGTCATGAAGTCCCGGGTACGAATCCCAGATCTGGAAAAACTCAGTTATTGGTTTCTTCTGTTAAGATATTCTCAGTAGCATTCCAGATTCACTAAGTTGACAGTGTTTCATCCATGTATTTCCAAAGCACTGATTAGCTGGTCCTGCACCTTATCTCTCTCCGGTGAGGTCGGATTTTCGTTACATTGCACTATGTAAGTGAAAGAATAGAGGATGCACCTATGCTTATGTATACATTTGTGTACTATAACCTACGGCTGTGTGCGCACCTGTCACCTTACTTCAATAAAAAAATGCAAATTTACGCCAAGTATTTCAGGGAAAATTGCTTATGACATTTTAGATACACAACATAAAAGTGAATGCCCATAAGTGTTCTGTTTTGATTAATTTTTGGCATAAAACACTAGAAATATTCTTAAAATTACATTATTTAGCACGGACCTCTTTTATTGAGGGTTTAGGGCAGAGATTCCCAAGACCCCATGGAGTCGAAATCGATTTTCCAGGAATCGATATAAATGAAAACTAGAATTTTTAATTTTTTTATGATTACTTCGCGATTTTAATGGTTTTTTTTTTTTCAAAAAATAAATACCTACTTAAATATTTTTACGTAATTTGTATTAATAATTATTAACTACACTTTATAATTACTGAATTTTATGTCTATATATTATGTTAAATTTTGATGAGAAATTGATGTCAAGTTTACTCATTTAACCAATCACAAAATTTTAAAATTGGTAAGTCTTTTATATCAATATGAAGAAAACTAGGGATAGAATTTTCAAATAATTTGGCTATGGGGGTCTGAGGTATTAGTTCATTTTGGAAAAGGGGTCTCTTACCCAATATAGTTTGGGAATCCCTGGTTTAAGGCATGGTGGCGGACTTCACATTGTCTTCGAAATATTTTTTTGATTTCTCAGACATGATGTTTTTTTCTCACTGCCAAGCACGTGGTTTACCACGTGCTTAAACACTTAAAATTGCAATTAACAATTTCATTGTTAGATTTCACAGGTGGTGGATTTTTAAAGAAAAACTTACCTGGTGGCATTGATCATCACAATGTTCGTCAGGTAGCCGTTGGTGAAGGCAAATATTATCATGATGATGATATATTCGTAATCCCACAGGAACACGACGGGAAGATGCTTCCTGGGCTGAGCGTTGCACAGCATCAACATTGGAACTCCTATAATCCTCAAGATGCTAGCTCCCGCTATCAACCATTGGTTGAGCGGCTGAAAGTACATATTTTTCAAATGTTAATAAACGGCCAAAAACTGTTGCTATGATTTTGGACTAGAAAAATATACCTAATAAAGTACTATTTTTATAACTATAATCTAGTAGTTGATTACAAAATTACAAATAGTAAGTGATGGTGATATGGATGAAGCCCTTTGGTAAATCGCATTGGCTTTTGCCACGTTGTTTATTGGAGGAAAAGACAGACGCGGGTAAAGTATTTCACATCTTTGTTATACGCATTACCAGCGACAAAGCGAACAGTTTGGTTGTCCAATTATGGGTGGGGGAGGGAGGAATTAAGTCATGTTATGTGGAAAAGAAAACAGAAAAATAAACTTTTTTATTCAACGTAGATTATAAACAATACTTATTGAAAGTCACTTTTTTAAGTTACCACTGGTTCGCAAAAAAAATACCTCTGTCCTAAGAACAAGCAAGAAACCCAGCGGGACTATTTTTTTTTTTCAAATAATAACTTACAATCATGTTTACAATTAACAACACAAGACAAATTAGAAATAGCTTAATAGCGATCATCCTTCCCAGGGATTATTATCATTCATAAATTCCTTAATATTATAACTTTTTATACAAACTTAGTTTAATAAAATTTTTGAACTTTGTGTGTGGCAAATTTTGTATATTTTCTGGGATTTTGTTGTAAAAGCGTATACATCGCTCCAAGAATGAATTACTGATACGGTGAAGTCGAGAAGCCCTAGTAAGAACACCTAAAGGCTGGTTACTTTCAACGTGTGCTCGAAGCTGGCGAGACAAGCTTCAACTAGATTGAAGCTATACATACTCCTGAGCCGAAAGAATTACTTATTATCTTGTAAAAACTGGTGTTGGATTCTTCAAGATTAGCTTCTTTTTCAGAAATGCTTAAGCACTTAGCTGGTATCCCCCAAAAAATAAGAAATTGTCTACGTACGTAATTAGTATAAATGCCGGGCATGATTAAGTGTTTTAATATGCAACATGAAGATAGGTATATGGGGCAATATTAGTTGTCCCTCAAAGTGAGATGGAAGTTAGATAGATATTCGGTAGTCGGAAAATAAATAAAAATAACACATACCTTTAGCAGAAAACCGGCGGCAAGTCTTCCGGAATAATCGCCGCAGTTAAATATGAGGTAATTCACAACGGGCACAAAGAATATGTCTGCAAAAACAAAACGCAAACTCTGCATTTATTAACTAAACTAACATCGCTCTTACGCAGTTAATTTGCAACTTCTATTTAATTTTGATTTACCCTAATTTATGTTTACTATTTTATTATATTGTTCTGTGTGATTTATTTTAAATTGTATGAATGTACCTAAAGTAAAATCTTTAAACCGAACTACATATCACCCGTATAACAGAGATGGTGTACAGTGGCACGTTAACAGAAAATATAGGCAAGGAAAAAATAGAATAATTTAAATACATCTTTGTAAGGCACCCTCTTTCTGGTAAGCGAGGTATAGTGACCCCCCCATTTAGTGGAGTGACGACCTAATTAGAAATGATGTGCTAATAAGAGACGTGTTTTGTGGCATTCCTTGTGTGAGCCCTGTGTTCAGTAGTGGACTTGTGATGGGCTGCAATGATGATGATGATGATGAAATACTTATTATCGTTTCTTTAACGAAGTATTAAAATGTATGTAATGGTAGTGATTATGGCGTCAGACACTGAGTCCGGTCCATTTCGTCCGTTTCCCTTCCTAAAGTTTATTTTTTATTTTTCCTTTTTATAACTGTTACTGCATGCACCACAAATATACCTGTTTGTTCCTTTCTAAATATTGTATTTTGTTTCCCCGAAATTGGTACGTAGATGTAAAAGATTCGCCATCTCTGTCATTATTCTAGTAGTCATATGTATGGTTCGTTTCTTTAAATATTTATAAAGGAATTCTTTTAATTTATCGATTCTGAAAACCTGAACGTATCTAACGATTCTGAATACACTTTTGACTTGTTAACTTCCCATGTGAAATTTGATCTAATGGGATCGATATTTCAAATTTCAGCATATAGGTGGGTCCACCATGAAAGGCCATGCTCCTTCGAAGGCCAATTATTAAAATGTCGTAGTTATTGCTATGTGATGATAAATTCCTTCTACTTACACAAACACCCATCAAACTGAAAATCACAGACGCGGCGGCGAATCGCTCGCGTTACTATTTTTTCAGTACGGTCCCTCGCTTCATTGATTTCGGAAATCGACGACGTTAAAATAAGGTAAAAACTTAATATATTTATTAGTTCCATTTATTCAGTAAATAAATGAATAATAACTGTTTATTTGTTAGAGTGGCCTTCCACGGTACACGCACCTTGTCCACGTTTTGAGCAAGATTCTACTGTTTTTAAAGCACTGTGCCTTGAGCCTGTGTAAACATTCGTAAGTTACGAACTTTTGTTCATCTCACATAGAGAGAAAAAATGATGATCATCACCAACCCGATTTTATTCGACGCAATAATTATTATTTCACATATTTTGAACATGCGCAACTTCATACGATTGCTATTGCTTTGATAAAGTTAAATAAAAAATATTAATTTCTTTCTAGTGTTTTCTATCTTTCAATAGTTTTGTAAACGGCAAATCCTTGTTACATACTAAATCAGGGTGTGTGAACACATGCGATGTTAATACTATTGTACTTACTGTTCCAGTCAGTTCCCTTGGTGACGGGATGAGATTCGACGAGCACAGTGACGGCTGGGTACACCGCCATAGTTATAGCGAACACGGCGAATATACTGAACGCGTACACCCATATCTTCCTCAGAACCAACAGCATAGACACGTCTCTATGCCGATTCGTCGCCATCCCACCAGCACCTCTTAAAACGTGATGGGTGAAGAAATCTATCTTGTATAGTAGTGCGTAAGATATGAAGGAGGTAATAAGCATGATATCGGCTATCACGAAGTAGATCAGGGCGCTGTGTAAGGGGGATACTTTGAAGGCGAGCGATATAACTTGTGCAACGGCGGCGATTATCCCGCCCAAGGACTGCCCAGCGATCACCGCTGCCAAGTATTCCTTGGAGAATTTGCTGGCAATGCCAACTAAGCCGCCACTGAACACGGCGGTCGCGGCTGGAAATAATAATTATGTTTTATTTTTATTTTAAAGAAGCAAATATACATTGCTTGTGGTCGCCACACACGGTCAATTCAACTGATCATTCCAACTGATCTGTTCAAACTAAAACTGTTGATATTTTTTAAAATATTAGATTTTAACATATCGATAAATAAACATATATAAAACTTCCCGATATTGACATATTTATAATTATCGATGTTGGAATTATCAGTTGAACTGACCGTGTGTGGCGTCCATTACTTGTGAGGTTTCTATTGTTGGGAACTTAAGTTATAGAACTGCGGGTATCTATATTCAATGAGTTAGGTGTCTTTGAGGTAACTTTCTTAGGTATAGTTTTTTTGAAGTGAAAACTTTTGGGATGGGGAAAAAGAAGCACTGAACTCGCGTGGCCATCACACTAAGATACATACATGTGTATAGCATTGAACTTGCATCACCATCAAACTCAGATACGTATTATTTATATATAATTTTATATATGTATACATACAAGTATGAGAAGCTAAGATTTCACTTCAGTTCACTTGCAGTCTTTTTCGACTGACAGATTTTTTTATAGAAGAGACATTTTTGACAGACGAGCATACAGTCCACCTGATTGTACATATATTGTGTTGTTCATACACATTCACATCTAATCTCGATTAAGAATTAAAATGTAGATGTGTTATTTAAGGCATTATGATATCAATGTTTAGAGATTTAGCGTTTTAGAGCGTTTTTAATAACATTTTTTTAAATAAATATTTAAATTGCCAACAAGCTCCAGCTGCAAGTAATTAGTTACTGTAGCTAATTGGCACATGCAAAACGTTAAACAAAAAGGCCGCAAATATGTTATTCCCTTTGATAATTATTATAATACACCACACATTATGTAATAAGGGGCCATTAATTACGTAAGGATACCGAAGAGGCGTTAAAAATCTCTACATGCGCTTAGCCTGGGAGGGAGGGGGGTAAAACCCATTCTTACTTAGTATTTTGTAATTCGAAATTTAATATCAAGTTATTTAATTTAATATCTAGTTCCATTTCGAATGCCGAAAGAGTTTCTATTGTTTATTAAAATTTTCAAATCTTAAATGTGTGTGGGGGGAGGGGTCAAAAACTCAAAATCATCCTTAATGCATGTCCTCTATGTTCTTGTGTAACCGAGCTTTGATCGGCGTTAGCAAAAAATCCAGATATGAAATCTTCCTGGATAAATTAAAAGAATTTCATCCAAATCGTTAGAACCGTTTCCCAGAAATATTATATGTTTAACCTACATTATTTCTAACATACATTATGTATATTAAAGTCGACTATCAAAACCACATTTACTAATATTCCCGTTTATCCCTTGCAGTAGACTTATAGTGCTTGTTATGATTATGACATGACAGTAGGCGAATGACGGATTCGAATTCAGGACTTTTAAGGTCGCGTAGGTTACTTGCTTCTACTTTAGTTATGATTCGGTTATCGGTAAAAAAAATTGACTTTCAAACACAGTACACATAATTCTAATATTAAACTTTTGTTTTAAAGTATAAGGGTGGCAAGTATAACTGATAGTAAGTGGATGCTGTGGCCCAAAGACAGACTTTGAATATGAATCAAAATGCAGATGCTATGATTGTCATGGAATAAAAATATACATGAAATGTAAAATACTTTTAATTCATAAACGATTTAGAGCGAAGCAACTAGTTTTACATTTTATAATCTAAATAACACACTTAGATGTGACCTAGATATCTGGTTAGCACGGTGCAATGGGTCAGGCTGACTCACATCTGCTTATCTACTACGCAAATGCTTTTACTGTTTTATTTGTCACGTTTTGTAAACAACCATTTAATTTTACGGCTGATAATGTTGAATATAGATACAATCTAAGCGAAACTAATTAGTATGTAATTGCGACAAACAAAACAAATAGGATACCCAATGCAAAACCGACACTCATCTAATCCTTTTAAGAACAACACGAAAGTATAAAACAAATTCCGCTTTATATACTATATTTTTGCCTACAAATACGAGGAATTTTTACACTGTCAATTATAGGATTCTTTGGGTATGTTCCAAAATAGAACCCAGTGTACTGTCCAATCCAAATGACGTCATGAATCGACGTTATACTGGTGATTCGTTCCAAAACATAGGACAGTATATGACGTCATACATTTGTGCCATATTGGAAAGTGTTGGTGATTATTTTGTGCTCCAAAAATCATTATATCCTCCTAATGGAGATACCAACAATTATCCTATAATTTTTTGTATTTGGATAAATAAAAACAAATTCTGGCATGCTTCATTCAGCGCACACACAATTAAAAATTGTTTTATTATGGCCGGGTATCCGACACAATATGGCGGCGGCACGCCAGTACAATATGGCGTCAATTGATGACAATTGTATTCGGCAGTATACTGAAAACGTTTCGGAACATACCCTTTATCTTTATCCGTCACAGCCTATCAAAGTCCACTGCTGAACACAGGTCTCCCCCATAGATTGCCTCATAGGGGGGATATGTGCCATAGTTGCCACGCTTGGCAAGCGAGTTGGCAACCGCAGTTTTTTTATTTTTACTCATTATTAGGGAGACCTTGCTGCCCATCTACTGGTTTGATAACGTCTGTCGCCTCTTATAAAACCCACGGGGCGATATGGACTTTATCTTCATGTCTATTGAAAAAGTCCAAAACATCATAGGGCTTCCAATTAGGGTTACCAACTCTCGAAAGGACCAACCCGGGAGAATTTTATGCAATCGGTGAAAGAAAATCTTAATCATTTATTAATTTTTAAATTTATATTTACTTTACTTTCAAGCAACAGCTAATATCGTCAATTTCTCAAAATGAGTGCGAGCGACGCATGCATATAATTTTTAGAAAAACCGGAGAAATTAGCACCTGTCTACATAACAAAAAAAAAACCCAACACACTGCCTGTCACCAGACTAAGTATTTTACGGTTTATGTAGGTATGTATAGACTGTTCACTAAAATAGTGCCGTGCCGGTGCTGGTCACTCGGAGGCGTACTTATAATTTTGCTTTTATTTTATTACTTTTTATTGTTTGTTAAATAAACGTTTTTCTATTCTAATAATTTATTTTTGTAATAAAATTATTTATTATTGTCATAAAATGCGAATACAAAATAACAAACACAAGTTAGGCAACAAAGAACCTTTCACTAGGGACAACTATGGCGCCTCGTTTTAAAATACCAAAATTTCCTGCGGGTGTACCACATGAGTAGATAAACGGCACAGTGATGTAGCTTCATACAACCGCGCGAATCGGTTACACTACCACAAGCACGCGGGGCATGTGTGCGTCACTACCGGCCGCTTGTCGCGAACGCGCGACGAGGCTGGAAAAAACCGGTTACGCTGGCACAGCCGGTGGACAATCTCAGGGTCAGTGCCACGCACGTTGTTTGTTTTGTTAGGTGCAAGTTTGAATATTTTAATGTAAAAACGTGGTATTATTAATAATGGTTGTTTATTGTACTGTGTGTATGAATAATACTAGAAAAAATAAAAATATATCATACCTTAACTATCCCAAGGTGTACAATAGGTAAGTAAATATTTGATTATTATTTTTTCAAGTATATAAGTGACTTTATTTTATTGTATGATCCTGTCGGTGATCGTATACGACGTGTTTTTACCTTTTTATTGTTATTACAAACTTTTACTAAACATTTGTAGGTATGTGGGTGGGTTGGCATGAGTGTTAAGTTCACATATTGCAAGTAAGATTTGAACCACTTCACGATGTCTGATTGAATTGAAATTTTGTATACGGTAACTTCAGTGACAATGCAATAATAATCCTCCAGACCGAATTCCGGCCACGGCGGCCTGCCTCAACGGATAATTTTGATAGTTTAACACGATTTTATCAGGAACTGCTGCTGCAGCTAGCGTTGTCTCCTTACGAGGGAATTCTTTAACGGTGAGTAGCATAGACTCGAAACTTTGTATTTAAATTTGTTTGCTAAACATAATCTTCACCATAAACTGCTACAGACAGGATAGTCTCCTCACGAGGGAACTCTTCAACAGCTACAGTAAACTTTATGTTACATTCAGAATTTACTACGCCATTAAAAGAAACAGTAAATTATTAAAAAAAATTATAAAAAGAAAATTATTAGAGTAAGTAATTTGTAAATAAAACTATTTAACAAATGTTTTGTTTAATTTGTCTTCACCTATTGTGGCATCCCTACCAAAATAGGTAACAATTTTGCACGTTCTTAAGAAGCTTTGTGTTTGTTTCGTTCATCTACTCATGTGGGGTGCACGCAGCACGCAACGACCTTCGACGTCGCGGCGGTGCCTTTGACAAGATACGGCATCTGCCAAGTCGGCATGACACTAAAGCGTTCGTATCTGAGCGAACAGACTATAAAGAGAAATTCTTTACCCAGCAGCGTCAGAAGTGAGAGACGTCTGGTACTGCGATTGTTGATCCGCCTGTCAAACGTGACGATGAAGGCAAATTTTTCCTACAACAGCGGAAGCCCATGTACAGCTGAGAATATTACGGAGTGCAGCGTTGGTATAGTGGACGTTACAAAATGGTTGTGGTCCTGAATTCGAAAAGCTCTTTTAGTAAATTTAATACCCTACAATTTGACGTAATCAAAAAGAATATACGATGATTTGATATGAATGAATAATTCTGGAAATAATGATAGTATTGGAAATTGAGGTTTTTTTTTTTCAAAAATCAATCAAATCAAAAAGATCGAAGAAATAAAAATACGATACGATAACTCCGCGGCAAATCATCGTACAGGATTTTTGATTACGTCAAATTAAAGGGCATTAAATTTCCTAAAAGAGTTTTCTAGTGAAATAATGAAAAAAATGATTGAAACCTTTTTCAAAACGAGCAAAAATTTGGAAATATTTTTTCGGTAGTTTCCTTGGATCACTCCAGAACCAAACATGAAAAACAATTTTAATGGTCAGATCTGAAAACTAAACACTTGGAGCTACTATTTTTTTTTTTATAGGATAGGGTGACAATCGAGCACACAGTCCACCTGATGGTAAGTGGTTGCTGTGGCCCATAGACATCTACATCTATCCTCGATTACGAATCAAAATGCAGATGTGTTGTCACCCATGAGGACTAAGTTGAATGCCTCGTTTCCAGTAAAATGGGTCGCCGGTTCTCTACACTCACCATACGAAATACAGCAGCATTAAGCTACTATTTCACGCTGGTATTCTGTGAGAGCGTGGTCCTTCCCCGGTCGAGCCGACCCATTCGTGCTACAACTATACATCTAATATAACTGCAGCATGGCTCTACCACGTAAGAATTTCGATGCACGATCATTTTACTCGGAGTTAGACCTTGTTGAAAATCGCCTAAAAATTTAGAATTATTTTTATATCCCTTAATTTTTGTGACTAGTGTCATTTTTTTTTTGAATAGTGTCAGAAATAACTTTGGCTGGCGACAGAAAACAACTATAAAATAAAGTGACTGAAAATGCGATTCAAATAAGAATAGGAACATCAATGACATCGAATGACCGCGATCTGTCAACTGTCACTTGAAAAGTATGGCTAGCAAAGAAAATTAATTTGCGTATTAATAATATTATTTTTTCAGCTTTATTTAACTAAGTCTTAGTATTACCATATATATTGAACTCATAATTATTTTTATAACTTAATATTAAATATTGATACTAGTCGGTGAAATATTTAAAATGTGTACCTATATAAATCCTAGTTCTATTTTTATAAGTGACTCAGACGCAGAGTGATGCAGATATGAGCGAAACTCAAATGCTAGATTCAGATTAAAACTTTTTCGTTCATGGTTCTTTTGTAAATAAATATTATTTCAAAAATATCTGTTTTGTTCGCCCTACCTAACTGTAACATAATATGGCACCAGGTTAGTCCTATAGTTATACGAATCGCATAGTACGTCTGGTAATGAACCACTCCACCTGCACAAGCAATTATTCTAGTCTAGCTAGCAGTCAGTATTATCTACTTGGGCCTATACTTGCAATAAAAAACAGAGGTAACTTCCACTTAATAAGTCATCTTCCATACTAATTTGTGTATAAAAGTGCAGATTTGGTAAGAATGTATAGTTTCTTTACGTGATAGTTGCCATGCACATATTTTTGTTGAGTTTCAATAATACTGTGGCCGTGGTAGGAAAAGGGGAGATCTCCCGCCGGGCAAAGTGTTCTGCCCGGGGAGCGGCCAACGCTCGTGGTAGTTCGGAGATGTTCTATATATACTGTTTATGATTCGGAATGTTGATAGCGTGATTTAGGCTTCGGTGTATTTCGCTTGTGGCGCGACGACATCGCCGCCACATCACCCCCTTGCTCAGACCGGAGGTCGATAGTGCAGTCGAGTTGTCGACGAATGTGCAAGTGCCAGGAGATTGCCTTGTAGTCTGCGGTGAGTCAAGAAGAAGGCAAGTAATCTGCCAGAGTGCCGTGAAGCAGAGGCGAGCAGTAAGGCTCAGAGCCGTGCCGAACACTGTATAGCGCAGATAGTAGCTTGAAGGAACAGGAAGCATTATTATTCCATTGCTGCGATGAACCTTGTGAAGCTAGATGGCTTGCAGGATATGAAGACTGCAGACGATATCTGCTCGGAAGCGAATGGGTGGGGTATTCTATGACGATGATGAAGCTTGAAGTTTCCGAAGGTTGTTTGGTTGCGTGTTCAGATCACGTCGGGGTCACTACTGTGGCCGTGGTAGGATAAGGGGAGATCTCCCGCCGGGCAAGGTGTTCTGCCCGGGGAGCGGCCAACGCTCCGTGTGATAGTTCGGAGATGTTCTATATATACTGTTTATGATTCGGAATGTTGATAGCGTGATTTAGGCTTCGGTGTATTTCGCTTGTAGCGCGACGACATCGCCGCCACAATACCGATTCCTGACTGCATATATTACTAATCGTAAAAGGTAGTTCACACGTGGTAGAGTCACGCTGCAGCTATATTGTGGTTGCAGCACGAATGAGTCGACTTGACCGGGGAATGACCACGCTCTCACAGAATACCAGCGTAAAATAGCAGCTAAATACTGCCATGTTTCGTATGGTGAGTGTAGAGACCCGGAAATCCTTTTTTATTGGGAACGAGGCATTACATCTTAGTCCTCAGAGGTGACAACGCATCTGCGTTTAGATTCTTAATCGAGGATAAATGTAAATGTCTATGGGCAACAGCATCCACTAATCGTCAGGTGGACTGTGTGCTCATTTGTCACCCTCATTCTCTAAAAAAAAGTGTCCAAGGAAAAGCCATTCTTCTAGACATTAGGGGAGTGGTTTTCCTTGAACACTTGGAGTCTATAATTTAGCAGATACCAACGAAAATAGCAGCATAACAACATAAGGCGGGTATAAAATACACAGATCGATTTCCAAGGTACGATCGCCAATCTATCGCTAAAACGTCATTCAAGTCAAGCTCAAGGTCATTGTTAAACCGCTTTTATGTCATAGTTATTACGATGTCTCAGTGTTTATTACATCTTGAGAATTTGTAATATACTCACCGGTCATGATAACAACGGACACCATGGTTATGATGAAGAAAGTGTTCTGCCAATCGTCAGAGTTCACTTGAACCAGGGACGTGGTCAGTAGGAACAACAACGTTATAACCACCAGCGAGCCTTGTAGCCGGCTCTTCAATGGCATCCTGGAATTAATGGAATTAAATTAAATTACCCCTTGATGGACCCCACTTCATCACATTTGTGTCGTAAGAGGTGACTAAGGAATATACAATTGGTTTATGCTAGATGTAATAATAAAATACCCAACATATAACAGTCACGGTGTGAGGATACCGTATCACCAATAAAACCTGTCGATTACAAGAAGGAGCTTTAGAGAATTCATAACAATCTTTGCAACTATGAGAAATGCAATCAACAACGATCATCAATCTATGACTTTTCTGCCACCAGGGCAGCGTCATTTGGGAATGATATGAAATATTTGACAGGTTTCATGGCGGGGGAAGTTACATTGGAAGGAAAATGTATGAATTAAAATTTCTTTATGAAATATTAGTTATTTATAAGTATTCATTAAATTAGAAATGTATAAAACAAACAATGGATATTCCTAAAAATATAGCAATTAAAATTTAAGTTAAAAATGTGTAAAAAATAAAAAAGGAGCTAGCCACTGAAGCTATGTTCTGTGTATTTACATTATCTGCACAACCGATACTCTCATTATAACGCCAATGTGTAACAAATAAATAGAGTTAAATAGAGTTTGGAAAAAATAGAGTGTAACAGGTGAACGGAGTATAAGCCTATGCTATGGCACTGATATTTTACATTTTTTTAAATTCATTATCATATTATAAAATTGATCTATAAATAAAAATAGAGTGTAACAGGTGAAGTATAAGCCTATGGCAAGGTGAAATTGATCTATAAATATATACTACTAATTTGAAGTAAACTTTCCGTACTAAAAAGGTAAAACAAAAATTTTGAACTTAATAAATAAATCAATTAAAACCTATTGAAATTTAAATCAAACACACCATACTTTACTAGTGGCAATAAAACAATTTCCTTGTCCTTTCACAGGGTCGCAGTCGCAAGGACAAGGCGGCCTGCGCTTTCATTTCAGTCTGCTGTGAATAGCTACGGGGTGACTTCGCATAAATTGTTTATGTTTCCGCGTGTGTATCGGCCGCCCGCTGATAGTTATCATAAACATGTACCAATACTCTAATGTCGAATAACTAGCTACCTAGCAATGGTGAGATTTTATGTATTCTTAGATGAAAACTTAGACGGTGCGACGAGTTGATCCCGTATCGGAATTTACAACGTGCACAATGAGCACTGGTGAAGTTTCCAGACCCACACAATATCAAAGTACATGCTCATCAAGTTCGGGTTAGTGTTAACGTTTGGGCGGCAATCATTAATGACCATATCATTGGTCCAATATGGATTGAAGGTCAATTAACGGGAGTAACGTATCTGCAAATAATACGTTCATCGATACAATGTTGGAAGACGTTCCTCTGAGCTATCTGCAAGGATTGTAGAAGTTCGGCTCATTACGAATGATCTATGCGCGCATATCTGGAGAGCCAATTCGGTGATAGGTGGATAGGTCGCAGCTGACCTGTAAACTGGTCAGGGAGATCACCAAACTTAAAACCTCTTAAGTTTTTATTTGTAGGCCGAATTAAAACGATCAGAATACACAAAAGAAGCACAAAGTGTTAGTGAAAGTTTAACAAACAATTTAAAAAACGTGCTAGTTTGTGTTTACAAAGAATTAGTGGACATTTGAACAACTACTGCGATATCGTTAAAAAGGTAATTTTTTTGTGAACAACAATAATCTATTACAATTTTGTAAATATCAATCATTATAGTTTGTAAATAAGTTGACTTCGATCTTTTAAATACGCCAAGATGTTGCAGTACAATATATATAGGCATAAAAAATATTATTAGAAACTGTTTATGAATTCATTATAATGCAAGATAAAATTAAACATGTAATTTTAGTCAACTACAGCATATTGGACGTTCTTAAGTCCGTAAAAGTATGAAGGAAAGATCAAAATCACAAAAATAATAATCTGAAATGAAAGGTTTTTCGTTCCGATGGTAGGGAGTGGCTTTGGTTGCATTCGGTATGTGTCACTCTCAGAATAGTTTAAACAGGCTATGGACAAGCCTATGCTTAGTTTCTCTATGTGATAAACTTCATAAATAAGGATATCCGAGGTAGAACTAAGTAAACTAAAGTGGTAATGGGCCGGTCATATAGCTCGAAGACGGCCTCGTAACGGTAAGCTAAGTGTAAGGCGGCCCCCACTAGATGGAATGACGACCTGGTAAGACAGGCGTGCTTTGTGGCAGCCATCCAATAGTAAACTTGTGGTGTAATGATGATTATGACGATAAATCGTTATTAATTCATGGATTATACTTACAAATGTCCATACAAGGAGTTCAATACAAGGAATATCAAGTTGGGAATAGCAGTTGCAACGTTGAGATAAGACGTGAACTCAGCTTGAAACTGCGTCTTTCGGACCACCATTGTCATGTTGTTGGGCGTGATGTCACGAAACTTATACATCCAGTACTGAAACATGTTTAATCTTGTAAGAACTGCTATCGCAAAGTGCAGACGCAAAGTGGCCAGCATTTCAGTATTATACACGATACATTTCAGAAAGTGTGCACAGGAATTGCAAAACTTAGTTCCTTCCTGTCCCCATCCATCCCTTATTTGCCGACTTAAAATGCATTCGATTTGTTCGTCAATCGTACACAAAGGCGTGGAATAAGTTGTTAACATCTATTTACGATTTATTTATAAGCAAGAATAAAGAGGCTTTTGAAGTCAGTGTGCTTTACCAACTTCGGATGCATCACCAGTTACAATCAGGTGGGCTAGGAGTCAAACAATGCTTAGAATAGTTAAAAATAATAATATAACACGCAACAAGAAAAATTATTACCATAATTTCAAAGTCTAGACAGAAAGCCGGATATTCTAAAAAAGGGCAATAGAAATATTTATTGATTTTTTGCATAGGGAAAATGCATATTTTATTTTATCGCCACTGGATTGATTCCTCTTTTCTGTATACAAAAATCAATTGCTGTTAGTGCGCTCGCGAAAATGGCTGAATCAAATTTGATGAAATTTTTTGTGTGTGTTAAGTGGGTCCCTGGATGGTTTAGATTCACAATTAGACCCGGTAGGTGTCGTAGGCGGATCGCTTGTATTATAATATAAAAGTAGGACATATATCACATATATTAGGTATATTTTAAAAAGAAAAGAAACAAGAGCCCGAATATAATTGGAATTGATATTAATAGTTATGTTGCAACCATCCGCTTAATTAAATACAATGATGTGTCTTACCTAGATTGAAGAATTGGAAATGATGTGTCGTGTAACCCCCCCCCCCCCCGCCACATACCTATACAGGGTTATTTTTCAAAGCGTAGCCAAATAAATAATGGTAAATCGTTGTTATAGTTTTTGAAAATATGAATATAAAAGTAGAACCCTTATGTACATAAGGGTTCTACTTTTATTTGAAACTATCTCAAACTGTATGTAATTTAAGGGCAACAACATTTTTGCCAACCGATCAACCGCGCTCAACATCAATCTACGAATATGTGCATACACTGTTAAAATAAAGCATTACCAAACATTTTCAATTTAAAAGATAAAAAGGACAGATTTACGATGATGTTTAAGATTTTTATTAATTTTTCATCACCATTTGCCTTTATGACTTATTCGGAATTTGCTCTTGAAATTTGGCCAATTTTTGCAAGATAACCCTGTATATATTAGTATTAAGTGTAAAATAAGGGAGTGTATAATTAAAGTTTTTGTATGTTTATATATGTAATTTACAGGATCCATATCTTCACAGATTGTGTAATAATTATTTTTTTATTAAATAGGCTTTGTGAAAAGTTTGATATCTTCAGAGATAAATAACAGACTTTAATGATTATATTTTTGTTAAATAGGTTATACTTCAAGGATGGTCCCATAATATAAATTTGGAAAAAAAGTTTCACCTACGTCTTGCAAATGTATAACTTCTTTTTTAGCAATTTGAAGTTGGTTTTCACTTTTTGTTAAAAGTTAATTATTTAACGTCTTTTCCAACGTTACAGCCTACAAAGGAGAATACAAAACTATTTTTATGTGGTAGAGCCACACTGCATCTTATTATTATGACTGCAATAGAAATAAGTTTACTCAACTGGGGAAGGACTGAAATAGAAGTATAATGCTTATGTTATTTCATATACTGAGTGATGAAATGAAAACAGACAACCCCTTTTTAATATAACAGGACATTTCATCTTAGTCCTCAGTGGTGACGACACATTTGCATTTTGATTCTTAATCAAGAATAGATGTAGATGTCTATGGCCCACAACATCAACTTACCATCAGGTGCCATTAGTGCTTCTTCGCTATCAACTTCTATAAAGGAAAACCATGTTAATTTTAGGCTTGCATCTAATGCAGAATATTTATTGTGATTTCACATGACAGTGCTTATACAAAGCATTGTGAGGTTTAGCTTTAAAAAAAATTTTTGCAACAATAGCTATTGTAGGACGATGGACGATGCAAATTTTTGTTTTTTAAGCTATTGCATAGCTTCTATCGCGGGCCTTGAGCGCGGGGACCGAATCCAGAAATTCCGTAACGAAAAAAAACCTCACGCTCCCCACTCCGACGGGCACGGAGGTGTGGCGTTGAAAGCAGTGCATCGTCTAACGTCGTTTCAGTTTGGCAGACTTCGGCACTCGGCAGAGTTCGGCACAATGTTTGTGAGCGTGCGACTAGACGTATGCGTGTACACTAGCTGCTAACTGAATGATAAAAATTCCTGAATAACCTACATGTATTGTAAGATATTAAAAATATTTTAAACAATATTTACTTCTCATTTATTCAATAAGAGAAAAAAAATTGTTTTCTTATCGGTCACCACTCTCAAAAAGTGTAACTTGATTTAATATCAAAGACTTAACTGTATAAATAAAGTAAATAAATAATTATAATTGCATAAGTTGATAAAAAATGCTATGCAATAGCTTTACCGCGGCAGTCACCGAGTCCCATACGTATTTTTATTTTTTATCCGATTTGAAAATTTATGACAAATTTTCAAGAAACTATCTATGAATATATAACACATTACAAGATACAAGATTTATTCAGCTTTCTATGATTTCTAAGAGTTATATATTCAATATTTAGCTGCTGACTTTCAAAGTCATTAATGTTTCTAAACCACTTTAAAATAATAATTTAATCATGCGGGTTGTGGCAAAGACAACCTTCAAGTTTTATAATAAAAAAAGTAAAAGTCAGGTTAACAAACTGATGCACTCCATATACAGCACTTTTTAAAAACTGGTTCTTAAGGCGGTACCCCGACCAAAACCTTGCAAAAGTGCGTTTTTCAGATACTATTATCTCATTAGTTATGAGAAATAAACGACATCTAAAAGCACATTATCAATTTTCGATATCCTATCATCACATTCCACATTCTAATTTGTTTTTATGTGTTATAAATACATTTAAAATTGACTTTTAAAAAATGACTAAAATCATTGATTACATGCATCTGTTGCTAAAGCCAACGCTCGTATCATTTGAGGATTACACTAACGGATAGATAATTTAAAAATCTATATTCTACATATTTTATTTAATTTCTTAAGGCCACTTTTCTTCTTTAATTGAAATAATTCCAAAAATTGGGGCGTATTTTTATGCGATATATTGTAGCGAGAGCCCGTGGATTATATAGGACTGAACGCTCAAGGTCGTTCGCTAGGGGAACCGTCTTAAAAGGATACAGAATAAATGTATTTATAGAATTGAAGCTTTTATAATAAACAACTCAAAATTGCAAGTGAAGCACACCTCAACATTCTTTTTTTTATATAGAATAAGGGTGACAAATGAACACACAGTCCACCTGATGGTAAGTGGATGCTGTGGCCCATAGACATCTACATTTATCCTCGATTAAGAATTAAAACGCAGATGCGTTGTCATCCCTGAGGACTAAGATGGAATTCCTTGTTTCCAGTAAAAAAAGGTCTCTGAATCTCTACACTCACCATACGAAAGACAGCAATATGAAGCTGCTATTTTATGCTGTTATTCTGTGAGAATGTAGTCCCTGGTCGAGCTGACCCATTTGTGCTACAACCATAATATAGCTGCAGCATGGCTCTACCATGTATAAAACCTAATATTTATTATAAGCCCTTACTATTTCTCTTTTTGACACAATAAACAAGACATTTTGATAAAGTAACTATATACTATCCTTAAAAAAAGAGATTATCTTTATAAAAAAAAATAAGAAAGTAATTAGGGTGTATTTAAAGTTATAGTACAACTTAATATTATAACTAATAACAGAATAGATAGAACTAAATAATATATTCAATTTTAAAATTGAAGAATTAAATATTGTATGTATAAATTAACAGGTTGTTTTACTAAGATTGTACCAATGATTCATCATCCAATACCACTGAATATGCATAAACTAAAAGTACACCAGTTGCAAAGGTGTTATATAAAGACTAACACTTTTAGGAAGACTGATATTTTAAATCATATCCACATATAACATAAACAAAATTAACTTACATCATTTGCAGTTATGAGAAAATTCCAAGGTACTAACGACGTTACACCAAAAAGATAAAACAAAATGTAGACAAATCGATATCGGTCTGTAGGCTGATCGTCATTATTTAAGACTTTTGTCGAGCATGAGTCGGTTACTAGCTCCCTTTCTTCGGAATCATCAATGACTTCTTCGTTTTCGAGGGTCTCAATATAGTCATTGATAATGGACTCTGCCGCATCCATATTCTCCCTAAAATTTATATCTATTTCAGTATTAAATTTATATTTTTAAGACTATTCTTGAGCTCTGCAAGTTTATAACGCAAAACGACAGTTTGTAGTCATTTCGAGACGATCAAAAGAGGACGAGACCACAGAACACTATTACTGACTATTACTCCTGACGAGACGACAGCGACAGACGGACAGACGCAATTAAATTTATATATTTTATACGACTAGCAGTGTTACCAGATCAGATTATCGAAAATACCGTGTTGTGCATATAAAAATACGTTTGCGAGAAAAATACAGTGTTTGATTACAAAAATACTGTGTATTTTACAGTGCAATTGAATGACGTATAAAAAAGGAAATATTTATTTTATTATGTAAAATATTGATTTATTTTAAACATAAAGTAACTAAACATCTGAATATCTTTATGCACAAAATAGTTTATTCACTGTCGCCATCCCTTTTTGTAAAATTCTGAGTTAAAACATATAACCTCCGAAAATTCTCCTTAATTGTTTCAGTAAATAATCTGTTTCTCTTTTTAGTTTTAGTATTATTAATTTATTTGACTGAACACTCTTTCACACTCGGCATTAGAATTCGGAAGAGCCAAAATGTTCAGTATAAACTGGTAATAAGAAAAACAAAAGTAGAGCAAGTCCAAAACTAATAATTTATAAAAATGCTTTTCACTTTTTGCCAAAATACATTGGGTTGTTGGCTTGTATCTAAATATTTTTTTTTAGTTTCGGCGATTTCCACCATTGATCGTCTATTTGTTGTAGCTCGGCCAAAGCAGTTAGTGTCAATCCAATTCAATACTAGACAATTTAAATGACCCATAATATATAACATTAAAACTAAACTATGGCATATCCAACTCAATTTACTTAAATAATACTAACTTCTATGGTACTGCCAATACGAGGAATACATGAATATCCTATTCTCTTTGTGTTGTCTGTGTCGTTCATAATTCACGATATTTTTCATAATAACATTCATTATGTAAAGAAATTAAATTTTTTGTTGGTAAATACTGTGTCTGCACATTGTATTTATAAAAATACGGTATCCAGTAGACGGCGTGCAAATACGGCAGATCTACTGTAATTACAGTGTATCAGGCAACACTGACCTTTAGTTTCGCCCGTTTAAAATTGCTAAACTCTTTGCCACACTGTCCCATACAGGAAATGCTCTTTGCAATTGCAATAGTCAAAACTCTAAAAATTATGAACGAGTGAGAATGTTTATGAGTAACAAAAACTACAAACCGCAATCAATCTTCAACACGCAATGATATTATAAGTTCTTTTTCCTATAATATCTTTGTCAACACGACAGTTGAGTATGTTTGGGTATATAGAGTTCTCTAACCTCCATGGTTGGGTAAATTATCATGGTAAATTATTATTAGTGTTCCCAACTCTTAAATTTTTAAATGAAGAAAATTCCATTGAGTAATGGTTAATTCTATAGAATAATTTAATACATACATAATAGAACGGCGGAGTGGGCGTAGCCCGTGTAGTATCTAACATGTCAATTCTCACCTATAAATGTCAATACAATCCAATCAATCATTTCCAATTTTCGTGTCAAGCGTCACTGCATACAAATTATTTGAAAAACGGCAAATTGTGCAATAATTACGTGTCGAAAGAACAGTGGGAAATGGAACTTAAATAAGGAGACATATCCTACAACCAGTAAGTCGAAACCATTTATATTTTGTGAATATAAGAAACAAAAATAAAGAAATATAGATGTGTCAAAAATATTAAGTGAAAGTCTAAAATGTGTTCGCTCATTCTGTCAATACAGCGAATCGGGTTTGTAGTAGTGATAATACGACGTAATTGCTTGTATGTGTGCTCCCAGCGACACCGATCCTCGTACAAGATAAGGTTGACAGCCATTCTATTGTTTATTATAGTATTCTATGGTTAATTCAAATAGCCCGCAAAAGCTTCCCAAGAAAATCAGATGATGTACTAGACACTGTTCAAATTTTTTTGACTGAAAATCCAAGAGAAACTCCTTTCGTTAATAATAGGCCAGGACAGGGATCGCTGAAAGCTTTTTTAAAACGACACACTGCCTTGATCTAAAGAACTAGCGAAGGAGTAACCAAAACTAGTGCTTGTGTAGCTGAATGTGACATTAAGAAATGGTTTCAAGAAATAAGAAACTACATACCTAACTAATGAAAACCTTTTAGATGTCATTCAAGATCCTCGTCGGGTTTTCAATGCCAATGAGACAGGATTCCAGACGTGCCCTTCAACTAGACGTGTCCTTGCTGCAAAAGGAGACAAATATGTCTATGCTGTGCAGCAAGGAAACCCTAAGGAAAGCGTAACCGTTCTCTTTACTTTCTATGCTGACGGCATAACATGCCCTCCATTGATAGTATTTCCATATAAGCAGTTTCCCGATAGGTTAGCATCTTCGGTGTCGCCAAAATGGAGTATCGGCCGTAGTGATACTGGTACGGGGTGAATAACGGCAGACGTGTTTAATCATTTTTACAACGGAAATATTTGCTCCATATCTTACCGAACACAATATACCAAAACAAGTAATTTTATATATTGATGGACACAAGAGCCACATTACGCTACTGCTTAGCTTAACGTGCAAAGAGCTAGGCATAGAATTGATTGCACTGTACCCTAGTACTACCCGTATTACTCAACCTGCAGATGTGTCTGGTTTCGGACCAATAAAAAAGATATATAGAAAAGACGTAGCAAAATTTCAGGCACCTAACATGGGCGAGGTAGTGACAAAATTAAATATTGCCAGCATTTTAAAATCTGTTGTAGAAGAGATAAAGCCTGATAACATTTTTAATGGCTTCAAAGAGTGTGGTTTGTACCCTTTTGATGAAAATTCTATAAATAACACCAAATGTCTAGCAACAAATAATAAGGAAGAAGAGTCCAAAGAAGAAAATAAAATGATGTCTCTTAAAGACTTTGAAAATATTGTAAGAGAGAAAATAATTAGCAAAATGAAAGTTCTACAATCTCAGGGAGTAAATGTCAATTCTCCTACTGTTAGCGTCGCAAGCGTAAAATCAGCATTTACATCAATGTTTATGTAGAAAGGCTAATCCCTGAACCTTAAGACAGTGTGTGAATGTAAATGCAGGTGGTTACGCCGAGGAGGCTAATCATGGTTTCATTTTCCCACGATTGTGTTTTCTATCAAGTTTCGTAGGTTTACGCCCGCGTGAGATTAAAGTTCGGTTTGTATTCAGCGCAGCCACTAAGACCAGTACACGGTGTGATGATAACGTGTTAACATCATTTATTCAATTCCGCAAAGGAAACGCGACAGTCATGTCAAATAAGCAGTCAAAATTTGCCGTTACTTCGCAAGGAGTTCTCCTTGATATTGGGTTTTACCTAATATGGAAAATTTTCTTGAGGTGGTTGTTGTTTGTTGTTTCTTCGCACGGTGTTCTTGGTATTTAGTCGTTAGTAGTTATTAGTCGTGATTTCGCATGGTTTTGGTTTTCACCACATGCGATTATGTCTTTTGATGTTATCGTTCTTTGCCGTAACTTGGCATGGTGTTTCTGGTGTTGGTTCTCACAACACAAAATTATGTTTCAAGGTGTTGCCGTCGAGGAACCTTGCTGTGAGTTCGCAAGGTGTTTCTGTTATCAGACTTCGGCATATATGGTTGTATTTCTTGAAGTTGGGTTTTATTTTGCATACAGTCACCTCGCAAGATGTTCTTGTCATCGAATTTCAGACGAATTCCTCGTTTTAGCCTGGATCAAGTCGGATCCTCGAACGTTCAAGCCATTTGTGGCACACTGAGATTGAAGATGAAGAAGAAGATGATTGAAGATCGTAGCAGACAGTGTGCATGGCGTTGGGTTTCAACGTCGGATAATATAGCAGACGATGCCACTAGAAGCTTTCTTTCCACCTTCGATGAGAATCATCGTTGGTTTCAAGGACCAGATTTCTTCAGGTTAAGTCCTGAGTCATGGCCTACGCAGGTAGACATGAAAGAATATATAGAAACGGGTGAAGAAAAATCGCCGAAATGCGTAAATACACTGATAAGAAATGAGTCGTGGAGTTTACCCGACTACGGATGATTCAGTAATTTCGAAAGATTTCTTAGGGCTACAGCAAGAATGTTGCAAGCCACAGAAAAATTCAAGTTTTCAATTTCCCACAAATTAACTGATTCGAAAAGGTTAATTCTGTGTTCTAAATATATTTCGACCAAGTCGGTTATCATTGGGAAATATGCTGTTAAAAGGCGGGAAAAAACGACGAAAAGAGTTCACGTTTAAGCAAATTGGCTTTGGAAATAGGGGAAGATAACCTCCTTCGATTAAACGGTCGTTTACCATTCAAATCTAGTTTATCAGAAGAAAGTAGAAAGCCTGTCATTTTAGACGGTAAACACGGACATAGTGAAGGTGATGATTAAAGGTGTTCATCACCATTTTGGTCACGCTAATCATCAAACGGTGATGAATGAGGTGAACCAAAAGTTTTATGTACTGAATTTACATAATACAGTTCTTAATGTTACGCGTAACTGTCGATGGTGTAAGACCTATAAATCTAGGCCACAAACTGTGCCGCAAGGCAATATTCCTTTAGAAAGAATAGTTCTTCATGAGCGACATTTTCAGCCGTAGATTATTTCGGCCCCATGAATGTATACGTCGGAAGGAGACATGAGAAACGGTGGGGAGTTCTATTCACTTGTTTGACTACCAGAGCAGTACATCTAGAATTATCAGTGTCATTGACAGACACCATCGTCAATGATAATGGTGTTAAGGCGATTTATCGCCAGAAGAGGAAAATCTGCCGTCATTTACAGCGATAACGCAACGAATTTCAAGGCTGTGAACAAGGAACTTACACAGGCATGCATGGAATGTTATGACAGCATGAAAAATGAATGTTTTAAGAAATATTTTAATTGGAAGTTCATACCACCTGGAGCACCTCATATGGGAG